GGGTTTTCAAGATAAGATACTGCTATTTGTAAAAGTAGCTTTTATTCACCTGATTGAGTTGTTTTTTCAGAGGCTTATTGTCTCCTGCCTGCTAATCTAGGAAATTCATCTACAGCTGGTACTTCACAGGCAGTGTTTTCTCTTAACTCATTGGATACTTTAACTTTTAGTCACCCCGAAAGAGGCAGATTATGAGGCAAAGACTGAGAATTGAATAATTTTTCCTTTTATTCAGGACATATCCCCCACCACCTGCACCCCTACCCAAAAACAGGATCTTACCATGTAGTTCTAGCTGTCCCAGACCTCACTAAGTAGACCAGGTTGGCCTAGAATTCACAGACATCCATCTGCCTCATGAATTCTGGGATTAAGCGTCTGCACCACTATGTCTGGCTAAGAAGCATGTTTTCTTAAACCCCGATGTCAAGCTTTGAGGGCAAGTCTAAAAGGCTGAATTCTGGAAGAGGAAGCATTTCTCTTCCATCCTAGAAGAGGACATTTCTACAGAAACTACAAGGTCCACTTAGTAATCAAAAATATTCCCAATTGGGGTATGAAATGTCCATATAGTACAGTATAGGGATGAATATACTAAGCAGTGAATAGATATTTTATCCTCACAAGGCAAGTTTTTAAATATTTTTATTTTGCTGATAAGGTTTGTTGTAATTTCAGTTCTCTGCTAATTATAAGCTATACCCTGTGTTTGGTAATCTAAACCATGAAGTGAATTAAAATAACTGTGTCCCTGTTTGGTAATAAAGAACACAGAACTTCTCCTAAGAACTGGCATTGTATGAGAACATGCTAACACACAAAGAAATCAATAACCAATGAGAAATTCTGAACAAAGAAAATCAAATTTGGAATCACATGATCGGAAGGCAGTTAGAAGATACAAAACATATCCTGACTCCAGAGCATCTATGAAAAAAATGACTTCATAATAAAATACCACAGAAGAGAATATTGACAAGGGTGAGGACAAGAGGCTCCATATACCTGGAAGGCCAGGGCCAGACTCTCTAGAAAGCTGACATTTAAAGTCCTCCTCTGGAGCTGATCTCGATGTGTGTGTCTGATTGATAAGCTGAATATTCTACTTGGTTGATTTTCTTATCATTTCATTTCATATGAATACACTCTCTAGCTATGATAAATTCCATATGTGTGTCTTGGAATATTCTTGGATATTGTTGTTACGAACTTCACTTTCTGCCCAAATTTAAGAGAAACAAAATTATATCTTAGTAGGGACCTAAGCCTATGTCACTAGAACTAGGTTTTCTTCACATTCACCTGGCTCATAACTTTACAGCTACAGGTTTTCTAACTGTCAGTTTTTAACCATCAATACTTAACTGGTTGCATGAAAAACTTCAAAACATATTTATTATTTCACATATTTATTCAGAAAGATGGCCCCCACCCCGCAGCATTGAGGGATATGCTTATAACCTTACTGTTCACTCAGTAGTAGGAAATAGAAAGATCACCAGTTTGAACTAAGCCTGAGCTATATGGCAAGACCCTAACTCAAAAAAAAAAAAAGCCCAAACAACTAGCATTTTCACATAGTATTCAAAAAGTATTTTTCTCTATTATTAGTTTACCAAAATATTTCTGATGATACATAATATAAATATACCAACAAACTTACCATTCTTCACATATTACTCATTTATTTGGTGATTATTGATAAATATTTCCCATTGATTTTCCATAATAAGTTTCACTGTCTGAAGCTCAAAAGAGTGCTAATTCACTGCACCTTTGCAAAGAATGGTTATTTCATTTGCAAACCTTTTTTTTTTTTACTTGACTTATTATTTTAAGTTGCTTACATTTGCTTAGTGAAGTTTGTTTTTATTCATTTGGCATCAATTATGAAAACAATGCACATCCTCAACAAAGAACTGATTTAACCAATGTTAGCATTTACTTTTCATGGAGGTTTCTAAGAGCACCTATGAGAAGTGCTCTGTTAAGTCTATAGGTGTAATTCCTTAAGTTTTGTTGCTGTTTTTGAGAAAGGGTCTCACCATGTTACTGTATATGGCCTGGAACTTCAGTATGTATATCTCAGTTTGAGGCTGGCCTCAAACTCACAGAAATCTACCTGGTTCTGCCTCCTCACTGCTGGAGATAAAGGTATGTACCACCATGTCCAGACCATTTCTTAAGCTTCTTAAATTAGCAATTATCATGGTGTCACAAGGAGTTTCAGGAAATAATAAAGAGGGGATGGAGAGATGGGTTAGAGGACCTGAGTTGGGTTCCCATCACCTACATATGGTCACTTATAACCACCTGTAACTTCAGCTTGTGGTGATCCAATGCCTTTTTCTGGCCTTCCTGGGCATCTGCACGGTACATACCTACCTACCTACCTACCTACACACACACACACACACACACACACACATTTTGAAAGAAGTAATACAGAGTACCTTCAACTACTTTCCCTCAATAGCAGTTTCTGACAAAACCACAGTGCAGTATCACTAATGAGGGTACAATGATATCCACAGAGCCAAAATTCAGACTTCCTGTCATAGACTCACTTCTCATTACCTGCCCCATGAACCCTTTACTGTCTGTCATTTGTACAACTCTCTCTTTTTAATTTCTTTCTGTAAGTATAATTGTGTAACATGTAAGCTTTACAAGTTGTTGGGTTTTTTTAATTTAGCATAATTTTCTGCAGACTCATTCACTCAAGGCATGTTCATCAACAATATGGGTAAATTCCATAGGATGCATGTATCAGCTTCCTTAAAACATTTATAGTTCCATTTCTAAGACTACTTTATTAATATTGATTGCGGGTACTGAAAAAGAGAAGGAAAGCACAGTAGCAATTTAGGAAACAAGTAAGTCATTTCACTGGCATCCAATGAGCTGTAAGTTTGTGTACTTTGATACCAAAGAGCCAAGTACAGTAGTTAAGTTCTAAACTGAAATCCTGGTTGGCCTTAATAGTAAGAACCAACAAAATAAGTAGTTCAAATAATGTTTTATCATTAGTACTATTTTTTCAATGTAATTAGTTCACCTGCAGTAAAGAAGGTGAAAACAGTAGGATCTGGTTGTCAATGAAGCATGTTATCCACAGAACTAGTAAATTATGAAACTATGCTTATATCCAATTGGGATGGGGGCAGAGTTTCATTACATACTCATGACTGGCCAGAAACTGGCTCTATAGACCAGGCTGTTCTCCAACTCAGAGGTAATCCTGCCTTCTGCTTTTAAAGTTACCTGGTGTCTGAAACCGGGTTTTAAAGTAGCATTTGAGGACATGGATCTTTCCCCCAACTTCCTCTCATCTTGGGACAGTATATTTGAATTGGAAACGGCTAAGTGCGCCTGAAAACCACAAGAACTTTAGCTGATTTCCGCTGGATCTCAACTTCTACACCTGAAATTACACGAGAGAAAGAGACAGAAAGAGAAAGAAAGAGGAAGGAAGGAAGGAAGGAAGGAAGGAAGGAAGGAAGGAAGGAAGGAAGGAAGGAAGGAAACAAGTCTCACACAGCCCAGGCTGACCTCCAACTTTTTATGTGTATTTGAGGGTGACCCTAAACTATGTACGATTCTGCTTCCATCTCTCAAGTACTGGGCTTGCAGATTTTCCACACTTCTACCAACTAAGCAACATTCCCAATCTGGGAAATCTTCGTTTTTGACAAAAGAAAACCTAGCTAGTGGTACACCATTAACATCTCTCCAATACGCTGGCAGGGTAGAGAATCGTGGCAACGCAAACAGGAGTATCTGAAGACTAAAATGACCCCCTGGTGCATCCTAAGCAATGGCAATGAGTCCCTAGCCTCTACCTCCAGCTGCGGTGCAGTGCTGGAACGCACTTGCTGGGTGACTTCCGACCTACTCCTGCAGGCGGGAGGCTCGCATGCTTTAGGGACAAAGTTCGAAGGCTGAGCTTGCGCTCGAGGCTCCCTACTTGACCGCTACGAAGACAGCAAAAAACGGCGCGGAGAGAAGGCAACTGGCTATCTGGGATCAGGGTTCAACCTACCGCACCAGCTGCAGAGAACAGCGCCTCCTACCACACTGAGACAGCCAAACCGGAGGCCAGCGGAAATGACGCACGCGCCGGCCGCCGGAAGCGGGACGGCCGGAAGCGTGTCCAATGGCAGCGCTGAAGCGGTAGGGGGCGTGGCGGCACGGGCCTCCCGCGGCTGCCGGGGCGGAGACGGGCGCGGGCTGGTGCCGAGCAGGCCATGCGGACAGCTGGCGACCTGGGACCCCACGGCCCTGCGCTGGTCCCTCGAGCCGCGGTAGCCCGGAGCCCGCGGGCCTAGCGGCGGCCTTTGTTCCCTCCGTCGCCGTCTGCCGCGCTCCGGTCGGCGCGGATGCAGCTGCTCCGCCTGGGCTCGCGCTCGGGGCTGCAGAAGGAGCGGCGGCGCCGGGCGGGATGCGATGGGGAACTGCTGTTGGACGCAATGCTTCGGGCTGCTCCGCCGGGAAGCCGGTCGGCTGCAGCGAGCGGGCGGAGGGTAAGCGGCAGCGGAGGCCCGGGATGCCCGGCTGGGGTTCGGCGGTGGTGGTGCTCGCCGCCCCCGTCCAAGCTACCTGTCCCCAAGGACTCGCCTCGGGACGCACCCGGCACTGCCGCCTGGACACACCCTGCTTTGAGTTTATTTAATGCCAAAGCTTCTGTCTGTGTATTTGATCTTCATTTTGGGCCTTGACAGAGCAGGTGAAAATCTGGTTCCAATGTTGATGCCTCAGGTGCATTTTAAGAAGTCACTTGTGCTCCAGGCTCTGCTAGGTAAAGAGCTGCCAAATCACAATGCATAATGGGCATTTAAGTAATTGGTGCGGCTGAATACGAGTCTCTTCATACTAATACTTAGAAATTTGGAAAGGAATTTGTGATTGCTGCTACTCCCATGCTTGGCAAGCTAGGCAAAGTATCGCCGAACATCAGCATCACTTCTCTGTGTGAAAGTGTGATATGCTTAAGATTTTTCCATCTACGCTAGCCAATAGAAAAATTTGATGATATTTCATTGTTGTGCCTGAAAAGGGGGTGAGGGTCGCGTAGCGTGATGTTGATTTTTATTATTACCGAGTATTTCCCAGAAATTTCCTAGAATCGGAAATCTAGGACAGGCACTTTAAGTAAAGAACGTGTCTGCTGTGTACTTTCTTAAGCGTCGTGCTAAATTTTCAGCCAGTAGCATTGTATCGCGAAGTCTTCAGCAAACACAACCTGCATGCAACGAAGTGAGTTGTAATTCAAATCTTTGGGTCATGGAGACTTAAAATATGATTTAGTAATTAGTCAGTGTGTCACTTACGATACAAAATAGCTAAGGCTTTACATTATGCATTTCTAGAATGGGAGTGGATGGACTTAAAAGATTTGTGCTTAGTTTGGTATTTTCATTTTCCTGGTTTCCATACTGTTACTTTCACAGGGGTGTGACAACTGCTTTGTGATCCAAAATCATATTATCCTAAGTTTTGTATGGATAAGCCCGTTCATTAAGCTGTGCAAATAGGCTCATGGAAAAACTGGTCAGAACACCATCTTTATTATCAGCTTTATTATCATGGGTTATTTGGATGGTGAAACATTCAAACTCTAGGAAGGAGTGTTTTGAATTCTGTGGTAGACAAAATGTGCTTAAGATTTATTTATTATTTATACAGCATTCTGCCTGCATGTGTGCCTCTACACCAGATCTCACTGTAGATGGTTATGAGCCACCATGTGGTTGCTGGGAATTGAACTCAGGACCTTTGAAAGAACAGCCAGTGCTCTTAACCTCTGAGCCATCTCTCCAGCCTCCAGACAAAACGTTCTTATATTTGACTTTGGAGTACTTTGAGTTCTGTAAGAATCTTTTTATAAGCAGTGATGTTGCAAACTATATTTTAGTTATACGCCAATCATTAAAATTGTTGAGCACAGGCTTGGCAGCATAGGGTGGGAATAGCCGTGGAGTTATGAGTCATGTGAACATTTCTGTAGATGTGTCACAATACTTGATGGTGAATCTGTACCTTGGTTTTGGCCGACACCTTGAGTAAGTCCTGTGGGCTGTGGATGCTGCCATCTAAGACCATATAATCAGTGTCAAACCTTTTTCATCTGTGAGCATAGGTTTCAACAGTTCCCTTGCTTGGTTCTTCCCATAAACTTGCTGTTTAATATTAGTCATACAGTTGTTAGCAGCCTCCTGAAAGCATGTAGACACTTGCACAGTGATATTACATTGCCTTTCCGCTCGCTCGCTGTTAGTCGTTCTCTTTTAGGCACGCATCTGTACAGTTAATGGGTGCTTCTAATGGTGAAAAAAAAAAATGGGTAATCACAAAAGCTGGCTTTGATTTTGTGTTACTGTACTGACCATGGCTAGAAAGAAATAGGACATCCAGGGCTTTGTTAGGCTCACTTAGGCTGAACTCCACAGGGGTGCTTTGTGATTTGAGGCCTGGTTTCGTAGCCTTGCAGATTTCCCAGGAGTCTCTCAAAATGAGATCGCTTACTTCTACACTATATAACCTCAGCACTATAATTACCAAATATACTAGAGTGTGCTCTAGTACTTTGTATGCTAGGATAACTTGACTAGTCAGAGTATCAATATTTTGTTGGCATGTTGGATACCTCACCACCAAGAAACAAAATACTGATATCCTGATGGTTAGCCTTCTTTATTTTGAAGATTAGCCTACCGTCATATTTTGGAGAATTCCATCAAATGGCCAGTTCTATTTCTGTGGACAGTACTAGAACTCTGCTTCTGATCAGTCTGCCTCCTGTTCCCAAGTTCTGAGATGAGAGGCTTGTGCTACCTTGCCAAGTTTATGCAGTGGTGGGGCTCAGACCCAGGGTGCCATACATTTTAAGGAAGCACTCTCCAGCTAAGCGCTACCCTCAGCCCTATGTGTTACTTTTTTTTTTAAGATAGTTTCTTTGGAACCTAGTTGTGTTTTGATGTGTTGTATTTTAGTTCCCATCTTTGGATTGCTGTAAAATTTTCCACCCTTGCTCCAGGTAAGTTGTAGTATGACTTATGCAAAGTTGTGATCATGTCTGAGATGCCCTGTTTAGCAGGTGTCAGCCCCTTGTGCTCTAGCAGCAGACTTGCTTCTAGGTGATAGTTTACAGTAACTTGCTTTTCCTAGTGAAAATGACTTTAGTGCCTGTCAATAATTAGTTATTACTTACATGCTGGGCAGTATTCTAAATGCTACATGTTACCCCTTTTATTCTTTTCCACTCTCCTGTCAAATAATAGGTGCTATTGAAAATTGAGTACGCTATTCAAAATGCATGAGACCAATTTATTATTTTTTAATAAGATTTTGGAATATTTCTATACACAACACTCTCAGACATGGACACAAGCTAAAGTACAAAACTGATTTGTATTTCATCACACGTTGTACGCTTGAGAGTGGTTTTATAGAGTATTTTTTAGTTTGCCCATGGTTTTGCTTTAAGTGGCACAGCATCTTACTGTTACCCAGGCTGGCCTCAGACTTTCCTGCAATTTGACTATTTTCCTGTCATGTGAAGTCAGGTGTGGAATTTCCACGTTGTGACCTCATGTTGACTCACAGAAGGCTTCAGAACTTGGAGCATTTTGGATTTTGAACTTGCAGATTAATGTTGTTCAACTTGTGCATGTGTTATAGACTGAAAACCAAAGCTTAGAAGTTTAAACTTGCCTGAGATAACAGAGCTGAAATTGCAGTCAAAGTCCCTCTGAAACCAGAGCCTTTATCTTTAACTAGTAATACCCTGTAGCTGTTTATCTTGTAGGTAAACGCTTGGTTACCCTCTACATCTGAACTATCCTGGAGCCATTTGCTGAAGGTCTTATGAAGACCTCAACAACTTGACCCTGTCTCATGTAACAAGCTTCTTAAAGCTTCTTGCACTTGATCCCTGCAGTGTAACTGTCTTCTCCCTTTTGTTTCTTCCTGCCTACTTTCATTCTTTCTAGCAATCAGATAAGCGGGTTTTCTGGTGTCGTTTTAATTTCCTTTACATGTGTACTGCTTATCCCAAGGAAATTTCAGCCATTCCTGTCACTTCAGTCACTACTCAATTTTGTACCTTTTTAGCCTACTATGCTTTTGCCTAGTTTTAGCCTCCCTTTATACACGTGACCTCTGTTGTGTGTTTCTGTCTTAACTGTTGCCTTTCTTGTCATCCAATTAGTGGCTTGCAAATTGCTCTCCTTGTACTATCTGCATGTCATAGGAGTTGAGCTTTCTAAAACTACACTGTATCATGCCATTTCCTTGTTTAATGACTTCTGCTACTTTCTGTTCCCCATAGCCACATTTCTAGGTCTTGTTTTTCTCCGATGGCAGCCTGATGAGTTGTGTGGAATTCATGTTCAACGTATATCCATTTGTATTATGTGCATTTCTGTATTTGAGTATAATTTCACTTTTTGTTCACAGCAAAAAATACATTAGTACAAGTAGATCAGAAAAAGTTTTTAAATTAAAGGGAACATTGAAGATACTCTAGTTTCAGTACAACACATTCACAAGTCTTCATATTTTAACTTTTTGATAAAATATTATCCTTCATTTGAAAATAGTATTGTCCCTGTCTTGCCAGCATTGCTCTCTTCAGTTCTCCGATTTGCCATTCTTTCAGCATCCTGTACACTAGCTGGACTATGTTATCTCTATTAAGGAACAGTAGTCTTTCATTGTTTGCTGTATGTGTGATATTTTGCCATAGTATGTGTTGCTAAGATATGGGAAGATATGGTGTCTGTGGTAAGAATTTTTTTTATTGTGTGCATGTTTATGGGGTTTCAAAACATACAGATGCTTGGCTCCTGCCCTCTGAATTGCTCCACTCAGCACCTGATGGAAACAGATGCAGAGACCCACAACCAAACATTGGGTGGAGCACTGGGAACCTTGTGGAAGAGTTGGGGGAAGGATAGAAGGACCCAGAGGGGACAGGAGCTCCACAAGAAAACCAACAGAGCCAGCTAGCCAGGGCCCAGGGGGATCCCTATGGAGACTGAAGTCACCAACCAAAGACCATGTATGGACTGGTCCTAGGGCCCCTACACATATGTAGCCATTAGGCAGCTCGGTTCTCATATGGGTTCCCTAGTAAGGGGAATAGGATGACTCTGACTTGGACTTTATTGCCTCTTTTCAATCACTTTCCCCTGGCAAGGCCACCTCGCCAGGCCACAGGAGAAGAGGATGCTCCGTTGACGTAACTCGATAAGCTGGGGTGGGTGGGAAGAGGGGGGTCCCTTTCTCTGAGGAGTAGGAAATGAGGATAGGGGAAACAGGGAAGGAGGGTCAGACCAGGAGGAGGAGAGGAAGGGCACTATGACAGGAATGTAAAATGAATAATTAAAATTAAAGAAAAACATGCAGATGGAAGCTGCTTCTGTAATTTCACAAGTCACTTTTCACAGTAGTGGATTTAAGTGGATATAAAAATCCTGCTCGTTTTGTGGTTTTGTATTACAACTTAGAGATTCCCAGGGCT